TTAAAGGAGAACTATGGGGTTAAGGCTTTTCCCCATAGTTCTCCTTAGGGTAACGGGAGGACACAAACTAGCGTCCTCCCGTCACCCTAGGCTCAGTATACCGCGAGCTGTAGCTCGCGGTATACTGAGATGCCGCAGTATACCGTGAGCTGCTGCTCGCGGTATACTAACACGCCGCAGCTGAAGCGGATCCCGACAATTGTGCCGGGATCCGCCCAGCTCCGTGACTGACAGCTGGCTCTGCCTATCTAGAGGCAGAGCCAGCTGTGCCCGCCCCCTCCCCCGTCCGTTCCACCCGTCAGTGCTGGCGAATCAGAGCGGGGAGGGGTGGAATCTAGCTCCTCCCCTGTCACAGCAGAGAGCCGTGACAGGATCGAGAGGTGAGCGAACGCCGGAATGTGTTCGCTCACCTCCCGATCTACTGAGCCGACCTGTGACAGTCTCATTGTCACAGGTCTGCTAGAACTATGAGGTGAGTGAAAAGCACTCACCTCATAGTTCTCCTTTAAAGTGGAAGTTGAAGGGAACAGCTATTCACATCTGATATATACAAGAGTGACAGATCTGATTTGTCAACAATTGTTAAATTTTTTACAGCCAGCTGTCCTACTTATCTATATCAGAAAGCACGGCCACTATGTGACCACACTTTTCTGTACTGCAGTTGAAGCAATACAATGGGGTCATGGGTTGCCCACTCTTTGGGCCCATTCACACCACATCCAGATCAACTCCAGACCAGACCAGATTGATTCCGGACCCAAAATGCATCCTAATGTTTCCCTATGCTAATTCTTGCCTATGTTCACACCAATGCAGTCCGTTGTCTAGCCCGTTGATACAGGAAGTATCGGGCTATGCATCGGAGCATTTGCGCGAGTACTCGGCCAAATACTCGGCATCGGCACCGATACTAGTATGTATCGGTGCATCCCTAGTTGTCACCCATCACAATCGCTTCCAGTGAAGACTATAAGCGGCCATGTTGACACACATTGAATAAGCATTTCCTGCTGCCCTGGGGAATGGTGCGCAGACACCGCTGAAGTGCATGGATGTAGACAGGAAGTGGCTGAAAGAGGCTTCAGGATATCAGTGCCACCAATATTTAAAAGAGAATGAAAAAAAAGTGAAAACAAGTGTGTTCTATAAGAAAAAAAAAGGCAACTGTTTATGATACATTAAACTTTAACAAATTTGATGCCATCCAGTTAGGGTGTGCATCTACTTTTGAGGATGTTTTAGCAAAAACATTGGTATATTTTATATGTCCCTTCACTGTAAACTCAAACTTAGTTGCATTAACAAAGATATATTAGACACAAAAAAAGATGTCAAAGTTCCAATATGTTGATAGGCAGCTCCAGCCTTACAGCTAAGTGTACACACACACAACACACACAACACACACACACAACACACACACGGTATATATACTGTTTACCTGACAAACAATGAACATATTCTTATCAACCTCACACCCCTGCTGTGTTATATCGCTGCATAGCATATGGAGGGTGACGCCACCTTTATAGCCTGTATGACTGCATACAAAAAAAAAATATACACTGATCAGCTATAACATTATGACCTCTGAGAGGTAAAGTGAATAACATTGATTATTTGGTTCAATGGCACCTGGAAGTGGGGGGATATATTACAATGACACCTGGAAGCAGGGGCATATATGCGGCAACAAGTGAACATTTTGTCCCTGAAGTTTATGTGTTCGAAGCAGAAAAAATGAACAAGTGTGAGGATTTGAGGGACTTTGACAAGGGCCAAATCGTGATGTCTAGATGACCGGGTCAGAGCAACTCCAAAACTGCAGCTCTTGTGGGATGTTTTCTAGTCTGCAGTAGTCAGGACCTACCAAAAGTGGTCCAAGGAAGGAAAACTGGTGAACCAGTGACAGGGTTATGGGCAGCCAAGGCTTACTGATGCATGTGGAGAGCAAGGGCTGGCCGTGTAGTCCGACACAATAGAAGAGCTACTGTGGCTCAAATTGGTGTAAAAATTAATGCTGGTACCAATAGAAAGGTGTCTGAACACACAGAGCAATGCAGTTTGTTGCATGTGGGGGTGTGTAGCCACAAACCAGTCAGGGTGCCCATGCTCACCACCAAAATCGCCTAAAATGGGCACATGAGCATCAGAGCTGGACCCTGGAGCAATGGACCAGGCGGCCTGGTCTGACAAATCATGTGGATGTCTGGGTGCATGTGTCACTTACCTGGGGAAGAGATGGGACCAGGATGCACTATGGGAGGAAGGCAAGCCGGAGGAGGCAGTGTAATATATTGGGCAATGTTCTGCTGGGAACCCTTGGGTCCTGCCATTCATTGTGGATGTTACTTTGAAACATACCACCTACCTAAAAATTGTTGCTGACCAAGTACACCCATTCGTGGAAACAGTATTCCCTGATGGCAGCAGTCTCCTTCAAACAAAATAATACACCCGGCCACACTGCAAAAATGGTTCAAGTATGGTTTGAGGAACACAACAACACGTTTGAGGTTTTACCTTGGCCCCCAAATTCTCCAGATCCAATCTAGAGGGAGCATGGAGCCGGCTTCCCGGCCAATCAGGAAGTCAGTCAGCGTGTAATGACTTGCTGCCCCACTTCCTGATTGGTCAGGAAGCTGGCCAGTCAGGAAGCAGGACTAACAAACAGTAAAAAAGCTTTAAAACAAACCATCACTGACTGCATGGACTGTGAAGTAATTCATTCTCAAACACTACAACAGAGGCTCAAAAGTTGGTTTTAGTGGGTTTCTAACAGCTTAGATGCATCTGCTATGTGTTTACATAGGAAAGGAGCTAACATTGCAAAGCCTCTGTTGTGAATTTGAAGATATATTTCTCCACAGAGCCCTGACTCTGTTGGAAAAAGGGCGGTTGTGGTGAGAATCTTGTGTGCCTGTTATGAGTCCCTAGTGCTGGAGCCCTTGCCTGGAGGGTATCACCACTCCACATGCAGGTTTTGTGCCTGGAGGCCTCGCTGGCCCAATTTTGTTCTTCGCTGGAGACATCACTGGAACAGAAGAAACACTAGAATCTCCAGATCCATGTCTACAATGCTACAGAAGAAGGGGGGGCACCAGCACTACTAGCCAACAAAGCCACCAAAGGGAGCTGAATACACATTTGACAGGTGGAAGGCTTTTTATTTTCTTGGGTAAGAGATGGGTTTGTCTTAAATGGTTAATCTAACAGAGATTGAATTCACCATATTTCCTCATATATAATAGTAGAACTCAATTTCCTGTCTCTCTAATACCAGCTATTATTACAATCACCACAGTTTGTATGGCTGTATGTTCCTGTCTATTATTTTTCCACATTGCTGCTTTCCCTCTACATTATTAACAAAAATAAATAATATGTTTACCAATCACAGGGAGTTATCGGCAGTCATTTGTTGTCCATTATGTATCTACAGACACATCTGATTTCATCAGTGAAATGGCTCTGGTCTTTGTTTACAGCAAGAATTGAAATTCATTTTTTATATTATAACAGGATACAAAACTTTGCTCAAGGGGATCTCAGGAAGGTTCGGCTGTGGAGAGCTGGCAGCCATAATGGGTCCCTCGGGAGCTGGAAAGTCAACGCTAATGAATATTCTGGCGGGATACAGGTCAGTTTGAAGGAATACTGTGATTTCTATACACACTTATAGCCATCCAGGGCTGAGTGCCATCCAAGCACCTTGCAAACTGCTAGATCTCAACCTAATTATGACAACAGCTAGTTCACTTCTCTTAGAAGTAAATGCTTGTGAAGGCTTCTATAATAAAGCATATTTTGTCCTCCTATTACAGAGAAACAGGAATGAAGGGAGAAGTTATAATTAATGGACAACCGCGGGACCTGCGCACGTTCCGCAAAGTGTCCTGTTACATCATGCAGGATGACATGCTGCTGCCCCACCTCACGGTGCAGGAGGCCATGATGGTAAGTTCATGAATTGTTCTTTAAATGTACACTCTACGCTAAGCTCTAAGCACCCTAAGCCCTGCTGGTTATATTATTATATATGCTATACTGTATATGGCACCAACACTTTCTGAAGTGTTTTACAAAATAAACAAAGACAGAACAGTTGCAATGCAGTTCAAGACAAGAGGGTCAGGAAAGCCCTGTACATGAGAGCTTACAATATAAAAGAGAAGGGTAAGTAATTCAAAAGGTGCGTGAAGGGATACGTTGATGGAGAAGAAAACGTACAGTTTTATGAGTTGAGGTGGGATAGATTTCCCTGAAGAGATGAGTTCTCGGAAATTGCCTAAAGTCAGACAGGGTAGGAGATAGCCTGATAGGGTGGAGTAGGGAGTTGCAGAGGGTGGAAGAAGCTCTTAAGAAGTCCTGGAGGTGAGTATAGGAGGAGATGTCGAGGAAGCACAAGATGTATTGGAAGCAGCGGAGAGGACAGTTTGTGGGAAATATTGCGAGATGAGGTTGGTGATTCAGCTCGAGTTGTGATGTGCTTTGGAAGTTGTTACTATTTTATTGTTGGGGCAAGTGGGAGCCAGTGGAGGGATTGGCAGAGGGAGATGGCAGACACTGAACGGTTGGTAAGATGGATGAGTCTAGAAGCAGCATTCATGGGGGAATAGCCCATGCAGAGGTAGGCCAACAAGGAGGGCGTTGCAATATAAGGAGCATAAAGTAAGCAGTGCTTGAGTTTTCATCCAGGGATTGCTGTTGTGCACAGGTCCACCCCCATGCCTTTTGTTGGCAATGCTTCCTGTCTGGCCATTAAGGAAATCAATAAAACAGGGAGAGCATTGGCAGAATAAAATAATGTATTGCTGACTGTGCCTTCCTGCCTTGATAACAGCCACACTGCACAGTTGTTATCCTAGTAGAAAATGGACAGGAAGTGGGGTAAAGTCTCCACAATGGGGTCACAGGTAGAAATAAAAGCTTGCAGAAACTGTAACCCTTAAGCACTCTATCCAAATGTGAAAAAAGAACTTTCTGGAGTAAAGCTATAAGAAGGTTCTGGCAGACCTGTGTTGTAATGCAGTGAGAAGACAAGAGAGGAAGTACACTCCCAGGGACCCTTTAGGGTTTTCTCTTTTTTCTGGCGGCAGTGAATGGCATCGTGTAATTACTGAATCAAACGAGTCTACAGTGTTTAATGGTTTCACTTCTTGCCATCACCCAATAATAAATAGTACAAATTCCTGTTCTGTATCCTAGGTCTCTGCCCACCTGAAGCTCCAAGAGAAAGACGAAGGCCGAAGAGAAATGGTAGGTGGCTTGTAAATGATGATGTGGGCTCTTAGTACAGTATGAACTGACTTTCCTATTGCAGAAAAGAGACGGTTCCCAGAAACTGTTTTCTATGTGCTTTAGCATTGATCTGTGCAGATTTACCAAAGTCAACGTATATCACGTGAATGAGCCGTTAGAAGTTTAGCTCTGGCTTGTGATGCTATTTTTCTGTTAATGTCTGAGATGTGAAACGCGTGTCTCATGAATTGTACTCTCATTTCAGGTGAAGGAGATATTGACAGCTCTGGGCTTGCTGTCCTGCGCTAATACCAGGACGGGATGTCTCTCTGGGGGTCAGAGGAAACGGCTGGCAATCGCTCTGGAATTAGTCAACAATCCTCCGGTTATGTTCTTTGATGAACCCACCAGGTAAGCTGCCTGTAACTCATGATTTAGGCTTGTAAGAAATCCAGAGGAAGCTGACTGATGAGGGATTGATGGCAGCGATAATGTGCCAAGTGCATTAACCTATAGAAGCCAATTAAATTTCCGATTGCTTTGGTCAGATCAGTAAAAGATGGATTTCAACTGCTATGGGATATCGCATGTAGCTGCAAATTGTGATCACTCAACAATTGTTGTCTCGTACCAATCTGAATCTTCAGTTGTTATAATAGTTAGCCCTAATCCCTCAGGAATAGCTGTGTGCAGTTACTGCAGTTACATTGTGTCAGATACTTGCTTCCCTGCCGCACGATGTGGTTTCTCCTTCCGGCTCAAATGTCTTTTAGTGAGGTACAAGCCAGTGAGAGGAACCGCATCACGCGATGCGGGGAGTAGATATTCCACTCGCACTAAAGAATTGGGTACATGCAGGACAGTACTCCGAAGTTTTACCACATGGGCCACCGGGAAAGGTAAGTATTTATCTTCTTTTCTTACACAATGTGCTTACTTTAATTTTGACTCTGTAGTGAAATGGCCACTGTAAATCTGGGCAGCCAAATAATTTGCAGTAAAATACAGCCAGCCTACACCGTTGAGCCATCGATTTATGCAGGGCCGTCCATTTAATGAGGCATCTCTTTGGGTCATGGGGGGGGACGGCAGGCAGAATGGCACATAGTTTGCCAGAGCATCCCAGGTTGCTAAGAGCCGGGCGGAGAGATGTATAAGGGCCATACACATCTCCATACCCAGCTCTTAGCAACCTGGGATGCTCTGGCCGGCGTCTCGACCAGCTCCTGGCAACCAGTGATGTCACTGGTTGCCAGGAGCTGGTTGGGACGCCAGCTAGAGCATCCAGGTTGATAAAAGTTGGGTGGGGATATGCAGAGACTGCTGACTTACTCTCCACCAGCACCCCCAAACCCTCTGTGGCTCAGACGGCAAAAAGTCTAGGGACACCCTTGGATATAAGGTATAGCAATCAAAACGTTATTTCAAATATGACTTTAGTTGAACACGAAAGTAACAACTATAAATTTGTGGTTATTTAATATACCCAATCTTGCTTAAGAGAAGTGAATTTAGTAAAAGTTGCAACTGTCATAATAATAATGAAATTGCAAATGGCAGGTACCCCAAAATGCCTTGAGGTCATTTTTGTCATCTTGCAGAATTGCGATCCTCTGAACTCTAGGTGTACTCAACCCACAATACAGTGTGAGCACCATTCTGTAGGATGCCAGGTTTGCCCATTGCATTGTGGGATGTTGAAGGAGTGTCTGAGTGGCAGCGTTGAATCCACACTGCTCTAGCCTAGATTTTGGGGCATGTAGGATCACTTATCTCGAAATTAAAGCTTTGTGCTGACACCTTGTGATGCCCCCTTTTGCCAAGTTTGTTAAATAGATATGCTTAATATAGTTACAGTTCATGTTATATTTTGTTATCGAGTCATTGTTTTTTTCATTTGCCTCTAATGTAGAGCTGGACATATCCCAGGAGCCAGGTAGCCAATGCTCCTTCACAATTACAGCCAGAACCTAACTTTTGAGGTTTTCTATAGTTGTAGTTAATAGAGCTGGCTCCTTTAAAACATTCTGCTGGCTCCTGAATTAGACAGACCAGCTACTGAATTCCATATTAATTTTTCCACCCCATAAACTGGCATGCCTTCTTTCCTATGGCAGTGGTCTGGACAGCTCCTCCTGCTTCCAGGTGGTGTCTTTAATGAAGTCGCTGGCTCAAGGTGGACGGAATATCATCTGCACTATTCACCAGCCCAGCGCCAAGCTGTTCGAGCTCTTTGACCAGGTGAGTGCTTGTCTGAAGAGTCAACTTTGCCAGCAATCTACTCCACTGTGTCAGTACTAAGAACATTGAGATTCTAATTGTTATGTCAGGAACCTTAAATCTGATTGGTAACTCTGGGATAGAACAGACAGTTCTTTGGTTACTTGAGGCCCATTGTAGCATGATATAAACCCAGTCATAGACAATCCAGTGCCTTCTGGCTGATGAAGAGTCCCAGCATGGTCCACCAGCCAGCAAAATGAGGAAATGATACCTTGCATGAAATGTTTATCCTGGATGGTGTATTTTATTTGATTACATTAAACCTGTTGTATAAATAAAGCTTCTAAACTACTAACATTAGTCAAGCACCTTGAGGTGTGTGTCACAGTACCCCACAAGACCCGAGCCCAGGGCACTCTGTTATGTAAAACCCAACTCATGCAGACACAATCAAGTTCTGACCCACCCACACTGCTTCCCACATATCACTATTGGTCACTGAGGCCATTCATCTCATGAAAGGACCAATAGGTTGAGAAGGGGGTGGGTTGGGGCTTGACTTTCCCAGCGTTGTTATTTGCATAATACAATGTCCCTGGCTTAATGCTCCCTTAGGGCTCTTTGGAACACTTCTAAAAGTATATGCAGACATCTATAGGTGTATTAGTAGTTTAAAAGTTTTAACATTTCCCAGAGATGCCAAGTTTACTGCTACTTGGAGTGTCTGGTTGCATTTCTGCCCTACTGAGAGCTTTCATAGTCTTGTGACTGTATAGTTAGATGTCTCTGTGAAGGAATGCATCTTTGGGTACCCCAGACCTGTGGCTGCACCATACCCCCCTCTACCCCCCTCTCTCTTCTTTTCTCTTTACCCGCTGCCTCTCTTTCCTCCCCCTCTGACAGGGGGAAAGAAGTTCCCACCGAGTGGGAACAGACTGGAGCTGTATGGCTCATTATCATTGGGCCATGGTCCTCCCTAGCTTACAGACAAGATATATACTGCATATTACGAAGGTTATGGGATGTTGTAGTGCCTCAATACTGCAAATTACGTAGTGCCTTGGGAGAGACAGTGGCTTTTGTGTCCTTTTTGCACTCGATTTATATGCTCCATGTCTTTTATGTTCCTCTGTATTGTCTCTTTTACTGAAATATTAAAAAAAAATTCAAAATAAACATATTCTATAAAAAAAAGGTTTTAACATTTAAAACAGGTTTACTTTCAAGAGAACCTGCGATTTGCCCATGCAGTTCAAAATAACAGGTTCACTTTAGTGCCAGGCCAACCAGTAGCAAAATTCCTTTACTTCTTCACTGCTTTGTTCAGTCACTAGGAATAAGGACTCTCCTTATTGCCATGTGGCAGCACTGAGTGCAGGGCTGAATTTCCATTACGGGTGCCTGTAGGCATGAATGGAAATCTGTTTAGCCTGAGCCGGCGCCCTTACCTACTCTGGGACCCTCCAGCTTTCACATATTCAGAGAAGCAGCCCCGCGTCGCGTAAGGCTGCCCAAAACACCTGTCCGCATTAGACAGGCGTTTCACGGGACAGCCTTACACAGTGCTGGGGTCCCTCCCCTGCGTTTAGGGAAGCCGGCAGTTCCTTTAGGCGCTGCTAGCCTTGGAACAGGAGGGTGCATTTTGTGCAGAATGTACCCTCCTTGCTATTGCTGATTTTGTATCTTGCCACAACCCCGGAGAATTAGGCAGAGAATAGGTACTTGCATGGTGCCCCTCTATGGAGGGCGCATGTAGGTACGTTCCTCTTCCTAATGGTAAATCCATCCCTGACTGGGTGTCTGACTAGGCAATAACCAAGCACTGTCTCATGGGAGGAAAGAAAACTAGTCACCTATACTAGGAAGTATGATTTATGTCAGTTCAGTCCTGGCAGCAGACAGGAGCAGCAAGGAACTGAGCATGTGCTGCTGGTGGGGCCATAAAGTCCAATGAGAGCACACAACGAAAGTTCCAAGAGCCCAAAAGCTTGAAATATTGATATTTGTTCACAAAAAGACAACATAGAACAGCCAACGTGTTTCAGGGTAACATGGATCTCCCCCTTCTTCAGGATTTAAACACACTGGATAGAAATGTGGACTCAAGCGTGGCACAATCACCGGAAATGAATAAAAATTAGATACAACCACACTCAGTAATAACCAGATGTTGTTCTAGAATTGCAAGTGTGCCACTGTCCTTCAAACTGCACTGAGTGCCAAGATGAGGGAAAATCTTGTTGCCCGTTCAACCTGCTGGAACCCACTTCACTCAGTATTTAAATACTGGTTCTGGGTGGACCGTCCCTTTCATTTCCCCTAAGACCTGTCAGCGTGGTGCACTGGCACTTTAGTATTATTTATGCACTCCATGCACGATTTGCACGATTGGCTTTTTTTTAAAGCTTTTTGACCCACAGATGCTGAAGGTGCAGGTTTCTTCGGGGCCTATTCCTGATGCTGGGAGGAGATTCTGTGCCTCGAACGGGGTTCTCTGTCTCCTCCCACCCAGGAGGGGGGTTTCTCTTCGGGAGATCCCCCCTGCCAAGTACTGTGAGGGACCTGTTTCGGCAGGTCCCCGAAGGAAATGGTCCACCGGCCTTCGGGTTGGTGGGCCAACAGTCTCAACCCCTGTCAGGAGCCTTGCGCCCTGGGTGGTCGGGAAGTAGGTCCCTTCTTCGGAAGGACCTTGCACCCTTGTGCACGTTTTTGTGTGCTGTGATTTCACGGTTGCACTTTTTTTGTTCACAGTTTATAGCTTCTTGTGCTATCCCCCTGGTTTACTGCAGGAACATCACGGTTATAGCTGGGTTCACCTGGACATCGTCCAGCTCCCATGCTCCTGCTTAGCTTGCCTTGTTGATGATCTGGCTTTGCCTGACATATATGGATTGGTCTGATTGATTTGTATGACAGGTCTCCCTGCAGTGGCTTATTATATTATACTGCTGGGAATTGCATAGAACCCTGACATCGCTTTCATGTCTATGGACCTCCAAACTCAGGTCAATTGATGAAAGTCGCATTTTCCTACAACACTTAGATATGCATGGTCTTGACTGATTCACATGACAGTTCTATCCTTGCAGCAATTTCCTGCGGTATTTATGTGTTCTGCCCCTGGAAAGATGGCGGGTAAAGCCCTTGCACCTTAACTGTAAAGTAAATTTGCTGCTTTCCCGGTCATCTAAATGGTTAAATTAAGCCCGAGTTTTATAGTATTGATTTCCTGGAAGTACAGCCGTTACCCTGTTCTCATCCCCGCTCTCTGTTTTCATCCACAGCTTTATGTATTAAGCCAGGGACAATGCATCTACCGTGGGAAAGTGTCAAATCTCGTCCCCTACCTGCGAGTCCTGGGATTAAACTGCCCAACCTATCACAACCCGGCTGATTTCGGTAAGTAGAGCCAAACCGAGATCTTTCGCAGATTGCAAAACAACCGCTGACGTTTTTTTTTTTACAACTGCAGTTCGGTGATGAAGAACTCTTATTGCAGTTAGTGAATCAATCACCCTGGCTGTAAATAACATTTAATTGAACGTTTTTTTTAATGGTTGATCGATATGAGGTTGATTACTCAGGCATGTTTCTCAAACAAAACTGCAAATGTGTGAATATCCATTTATTCCATGTATTCTATTCCTTCTTAAAGCTGAAGTTTAATCTGCTTATATTTTACCTTCCCTGGTCCCCCCCCCCTCCCCCCCTATACACATACAAATGTAATTTTTAAAT